CACACACACACACACACACACACACACACACACACACACACACACACACACACACACACACACACAAAAGGGAAATGATTCTTTCTCTAGTCTCTTCCAACGCCTCAGTGCTGTTCAGAAAGATTTTCATCTTGGTTAAAAGAACGATAAGAATATTATTCTGAGACTTGTTTATGTTGTTCACCCAGCGCCCCCACCCAGTTAATGTTATACGAGTTGGCCCAATCACCAAAAGGGCTACATAGAAAACACGAGACCAATATTATAAGGGGATGATATTTTTTTTAAGCCACCCTCCTTCTCCAAAAAAATCTATCAGTTTCGCCAGCTATCATTCTACACACCTTTTCCATCCCCATCATAGTACAATGTACGTTAGTTTAAATGACCGTATTTCTCTTCTAAATGAAATCCCTTACCTAGGTATCACTAAACATGATAATCTTTAGATGGGACTGTTGAGAGTAGAGGTGGTGGTAATAGATCTAATTATTCCTGGGTATTTTTTGCGAGTGTATACATGAGTATGAGTGTGTAAGTGAGAGAGAGAAAGAGAGAGAGAGAGAAAGAGAAAGAGAGAGAGCGTGTGTGTGTGCGTGCGTGTGTGAGTGTATGTGTGTGCGTGACTATAAGAGTGTAGGGGAGGGGTATGTAGGTCTGAGGGCATGAAAGAAAGCGAGAAAGGAACGAAAAAACTCAGATAGAGAGGGGGGAGAGAGAGAGAGAGAGAGAGAGAGAGAGAGGGGGGGGGCAGATAGAGGGGGGGGAGAAAAAAGAGGGAGCGAGTGAACGATAACGATGAGCAATGACATGTTATTTTTATGAGAATATAGACAAAACTGAGTTAACGGAGGGGAAAATGAGGACTCAGAAAGAGGAAAGGGGTCTGCGACAGGGATAAAGCGAAACGAAACGAAAGAACAAATCCTGTCTATATGGCTATGTGTAAAGAACAGAGAGAGGCAGACAGACATGTGAAGAAAAGGGGAAGGGAAGAAAGAGAGAGGGAAAAGGAGAGAGAGAGAGAGAGAGAGAGAGAGAGAGAGAGAGAGAGAGAGAGAGAGAGAGAGAGAGAGAGAGAGATCTAGCGTGATCTATTAGTGTTCTAAAAATAGTGCTAAGAGGACCAAGACGAATCTGATCGTGATAGAAGAATCCTGAAGCACACAATTTCCATCACTATTTTTAAAATAAAGAATAGGCCTACACGGTCAACTCAAGACTTGGCGAGTCTAAAGTAATTAAAGTAAGAACAGTAGTCTGTCAGCCCTAATTAAAACATGAGTCAAATCAATTTTTAAAACGTCACATCATGCACACGTGGAGATAAGGTCGACAGAGTTGTCAGCATGTCTGTGTTCATTGCACAGGCAGAAGAAATGAAAGTTTGTTGCCAACAGATAAAACACTACTATAGCCCAATGATTATAAATACCTATTTACGGTCTCTGCTGTAGCCTAAGCCTACTAATACTACTACTAATAATAGATCTTCATGTGAGTCTGTAGGTAAGTATCGTGTCACCCAAGACGGATTAAACCAAGAAGCGAGAGTCTCCGAGAAATATTGGCCTAATATTTCTTGGGGTCATTCTCTAAAGTATAAAAATATATAGACATTTTAAAAGGTCTGGGTCGAATCTGAGATTTTAGGCCATCAATTTAAATCTTGGAATACAGCGGAGTTGACTGGATAGGGCATAGGCCTACAGCGTCTGCGACACCCACTCCTCCCCACAAAAACCCGCTTCTTGCTTCGCGGAGTAGGCCTAATAACCCAGCTGGACAAACAAAATTGGATCCGTTTGCCTGGACCTAAATCAACATGTGTGTCGCTCTGTGGCAGTGTATCTGAAATATCTGAAAGTTGGCTTCGCGGAAAAGTTGTTTTGTCAGCATTATGGAGTTCATGAAAAGTGAAAAGCGTTCATAACAATGCGATCGTGAAGGCTACCTTGACAATGAGCACAGTTTACACTTTGGTCTTGTCTCGCGCCATAACAAGCTATTTTTAGTAAAGCGTCATAGCTTTTTTTAGAAAAGTGACGTAATATGCTGACTGCTATATAAAGTCCGTGTAGAGCCCCGTAGGTTTAGAATCGCTAATCGCAAGAACCGTACCACTACTGTGAACCGCTAGACTAATAATTGTACACATTGAACAGAAGAAGGTAAGTTTCTTTGTTTTGATTTAATTGTTTGAGAAGGAAATTATAGTGAATCAGCGTCGGACTCTTCGTTTGCCTGGCTAACTGCAATTTAACTGAAATCGTTAGAGTTTTAAAAGCTTGTTCATTTTTCAGGGACCGAGATTGTCGATTCGATTTTTCTAGAACACCATTTTGTCGACGTGAGCACAAAGAAAAGTGCACAGTCACGAATGTCACCTTCAAATTCAAAATTCCAAACTCAAGTTCGTTTCTAAGGCCCAACCGAAGAAGAGATAGAAGAGAATTGTGTGAGTAATTTGGGAGAATAAGACTTCGGCGGGATTCCCTCTCATCTGCAGTTCCTGTAACACAACAACAGTCAGTAACAGTAACAGAATTTGAAAGCCAGCTAGAAAAGCCAGTTGGGACTTGTTGTTTTTCTCTTTGTCATATGACTTTATGATGTTTATGTGCGCTAGATCTATATCTTGATCTGAGTCAAATTGTGAAGATTCCAGGTATGTCCTAGTCCAGAGTATCATTGTTTTGAATTTAGGCCTAATTCTTTGTAGGTCTAGAGATTGGTTTTAATTTTAATAATTCTAAATTCTTTGTCTTGGTGCTTGTGAAATCCTCCTCTTTTGGTTTTGTGGTGTAGATCTAGCAGGCGATGCCGATTGTTAAGATTCCCACGTTTAATTGCGATTTGGGTTTTTCAGGGTTAGGGTTAGATTCTAGATCTAGATCTAGGGACAAGACCAAAACAGCTGAGGCTATGAAAATGCACTCGGAATGGGAAGATTGAAGAATACCGGACCACTCGTACATTATTTATTGCACGAGAAAGTGGGGTAGGTGGGGCGGGTGGTTGGGGTGGAGGAATGAATAGATCTACCGGTCCGAGATTCTCTATTGAGAGATATTAAAAACGGGAAAATTATGAATTCCTAAGACCTAAGGCCTAAGGTTGAGACATAGGCAGAATCGGTCCGCTGGTCCGGTATTCTTCAATCTTACCGAATTAGATGCGGGTTAACAATAACAATAGCTGTGCAGATAAAATTGATTTTTCTTTGTCTTTTGTTTTCGAATTTGGTTCAGATGTTAGCCTATTAAATCAATGACCTCAGTTTTGGATTAGATCTAGGGTTCCTTTGAAAGTTTAAAAAGATCAATTAAAATGCATGTTAAAATCTGTCATTTTGACATGTAGATCTAGATCTAGATTCTAGATCTAAGTAGAGAATCTTTTAGAATCTTGTTTAAAAAAATAAGATATAAACGAATGATTAGAATCTGGGCAGACCTCGGCCTCCAGATCTAGACAGTTTGAATGGAAAAGGAAGGTTGAATGATTATGGTACTTACTAAAGATAGAGGCTATGCAAGAAGGAACTTGCGAGAAATGAGTCTAGATACAGTGAGTTTGAATGGAAAAGGAAGGTGGAATGATTATGAAACTAAAGATAGAGGCTATGCAAGAAGGAACTTAAGAGAAATGAGTCAAGATTTACATTTCAGAGATTCTTTCATTGAACAAAGGCTGCCCAAAGTTTCAGATTCCGAGGTAACATAGTACTCTTTTCGGAACTTCTCCCTACTCAAAAATAAAAATGTCATCTCTTGAAAATCAAATTCAACATTGTAATCAATTTCTATTCCAGTTTTTAAGTCTAACTGTTCTGTTTATAAAACATTTTCAGAGGCATCATGCAGATCTTCGTCAAGACTCTCACTGGCAAGACCATCACCCTTGAGGTGGAGCCGTCTGACACAATTGAAAACGTGAAAGCAAAGATCCAGGACAAAGAGGGAATCCCGCCCGATCAGCAGAGGTTGATTTTCGCTGGAAAGCAGTTGGAAGATGGACGCACACTCTCAGATTACAATATCCAGAAAGAATCCACACTTCACCTGGTGCTGAGACTTAGGGGAGGTGAGAATTTCCTTTGATCTTTTAAAATCAGCTCAAGTTAAGAAGGGGAGAAGTAATGATCTGCCATTTAAGGGGGATGCATTGCCCTGACTTGCTTCATTGAAAATTTAATTCTTTATTCAGACAAGGGCTAGCAAACGAGTGCATTCCTGGTTTTATACTATTGTTTTTAAAAAATTAAGGGAATTGTGTTAATTAATTAATTCCTTCAGAAAAAAAAAGAAACCTATAATGAATGCGCAATTCATGAAATAATAATTCTATCGGTTTGATAATTTTGAAATTCATTGTCAGTGTTGGCTAGTCTCGCAACTTTTTAGGCTTATAATGATTTTGCATTTCGTCACGAAAAATTTTCAGTAAGAGTGAGAACAAACTTGTATGCCTTTTGCTATTTGTATTTTTTTCGAGTACTATGGTTTGTGATTTGACAAGTTAATATAAACAATTTTGTTTTTTCCACAGGAATGCAGATTTTTGTGAAGACCCTCACAGGCAAGACTATCACATTGGAAGTGGAGCCGTCTGACACCATTGAGAATGTGAAAGCTAAGATCCAGGACAAAGAGGGAATCCCCCCAGATCAGCAGAGGCTTATCTTTGCCGGCAAACAGCTTGAGGATGGCAGAACCTTGTCCGACTATAACATCCAGAAAGAATCCACACTCCATTTGGTGCTCAGACTCAGAGGAGGTAAGCTTTTTGTCACTTAAATATTTTTAAAAATATTCAGCAGCGTCCACGGTGTGGGGTTAGCATCTTTATTTCTTGCAAAAGATAGTGTTTGATTCTTAATTGTGGGGGGGGGGGGAGATTTTCAAAATTACAGGCATGTCTGATGGAATGTTGATTCTCTCTCAGAAAGATGGGCCCCAGCAAGAGTTGAAGTAACCCACTCCCTGTGATATGAGTTGACAGGAGCGTAAAACATTTGCAATTTCAATTAAAATGTGAGATTATGATGTTTGCCGCCGGAATCGTCTTTTGGTGCGGGCCGCTCAGGTTGTCTGATGTTCTTTGAGGTCTTATCGGAGTAAAATTTCATTTTATTTGTTCAAAATAAATTCAGTCAGCTTGGTATTGCATTGGGTTTCACTGAAATTTATTTTAAAAAAAAAAAAATTTTCTATGGAAATATTATCACAGCAGAAATAACTTTTTAAAAACATTTTTTTTTGGTGGTCGTTTTTACTTCACAAATTACGATTTTCATCCTCGCCCAGTAATGCTGTTCCTTTGTTCTTTCTGTTTGTCTTGTCATGATTTAGTTCCAAACATTTTACATCCATTACCGTATCTGCATAGAACTTACTATCATCCCTTGCCTGACGGGCAGCCACATGCTTTTTAAAATGATACTTTTATGTATTCCACCGAGTGGCTTTAATTTTGGGGATGAATTTTTTTGTTTACTTCAGCTACTGAGCCAATGAACTGATATTCAAGACAATTTTTCACTTTTGTACAGGAGACTAGATTGTGTTGATTTATAACACATGAACTCAATTGTTAATGTAAAATTGGCTGTTTTTCTGACTCGTTTCATTTTAAGAAAGATTTATAATGCCGTGTTCACCATATCTTTACAGGTATGCAGATCTTTGTCAAGACCCTGACTGGCAAAACCATCACTCTGGAAGTGGAGCCATCGGACACCATTGAGAACGTGAAGGCCAAAATCCAAGACAAAGAGGGAATTCCTCCAGATCAGCAGAGATTGATCTTTGCCGGCAAACAGCTTGAGGATGGCCGTACCTTGTCGGACTACAACATCCAGAAAGAGTCCACTCTCCATTTGGTGCTGCGTCTGAGAGGAGGTATGCAGATCTTCGTCAAGACCCTGACTGGCAAAACCATCACTCTAGAAGTGGAGCCATCTGACACCATTGAGAACGTGAAGGCCAAAATCCAAGACAAAGAGGGAATTCCCCCAGATCAGCAACGTCTTATCTTTGCCGGCAAACAGCTTGAGGATGGCCGTACCTTGTCGGACTACAACATCCAGAAAGAGTCCACTCTCCATTTGGTGCTGCGTCTGAGAGGAGGTATGCAGATCTTCGTCAAGACCCTGACTGGCAAAACCATCACTCTGGAAGTGGAGCCATCGGACACCATTGAGAACGTGAAGGCCAAAATCCAAGACAAAGAGGGAATTCCTCCCGATCAGCAGAGATTGATCTTTGCCGGCAAACAGTTGGAAGATGGCCGTACCTTGTCGGACTACAACATCCAGAAAGAGTCCACTCTCCATTTGGTGCTGCGTCTGAGAGGAGGTATGCAGATCTTCGTCAAGACCCTGACTGGCAAAACCATCACTCTGGAAGTGGAGCCATCGGACACCATTGAGAACGTGAAGGCCAAAATCCAAGACAAAGAGGGAATTCCCCCAGATCAGCAACGTCTTATCTTTGCCGGCAAACAGCTTGAGGATGGCCGTACCTTGTCGGACTACAACATCCAGAAAGAGTCCACTCTCCATTTGGTGCTGCGTCTGAGAGGAGGTATGCAGATCTTCGTCAAGACCCTGACTGGCAAAACCATCACTCTAGAAGTGGAGCCATCTGACACCATTGAGAACGTGAAGGCCAAAATCCAAGACAAAGAGGGAATTCCTCCAGATCAGCAGAGATTGATCTTTGCCGGCAAACAGCTTGAGGATGGCCGTACCTTGTCGGACTACAACATCCAGAAAGAGTCCACTCTCCATTTGGTGCTGCGTCTGAGAGGAGGTATGCAGATCTTTGTCAAGACCCTGACTGGCAAAACCATCACTCTGGAAGTGGAGCCATCGGACACCATTGAGAACGTGAAGGCCAAAATCCAAGACAAAGAGGGAATTCCCCCAGATCAGCAACGTCTTATCTTTGCCGGCAAACAGCTTGAAGATGGCCGTACCTTGTCCGACTACAACATCCAGAAAGAGTCAACCCTTCATCTAGTCTTGCGTCTGCGTGGTGGAAAGTGAACGGCTGAGTTTATCTCTAGGCTGTTCTAATCATTACCTGCTGCTTTTTTACGTGATGTTTTTATGGCTAACTTGATTCTTTTTGTATTATTTGTATACTAAACGTAAGTTACTTTCAGCTTGGACCTACTAAAAAGTTTTGTACTTTAACACTGAAACCTTACAAAGACCCTTTTGTCTTTCTAAAAATCCAGGACGCCTGTGAAATTTGAGCGTATGCAGAGGTAATAATTAATAAAAATGCTCAAGGATACTTTTAATTTTGTCTTTCATTTGTTTTCATTGTGTAGACTACATGTTTGGACTTTGCAAAATTTTTGTTTTTGTGTGGTATTTGTTGAGGGGAAATGTTTGGGTTTTGGATTTCACCTGCGAGATGGGAAGTGAGTTGAACTTGAACTTGCAAAAAATATCAGACTTGCTGGTCTCATTAGACACTCTAATTTCTGCAAAGGTTTGCATCTAAATCATAGTCGGTCTGGCTCATCATAACTGACGAAATGCAGTTTTGAGTTTGTGCTTTTGTTGGTGATCAAGAGTTGACCATCTTAGACTTTCGTAAATTGTAGTTGTACCTGTGCTGAAACCAGTGAAGAGTGGATGGTTGGCGAGTGCTCTGGTGGTGTGGTCTGCTCCTTTCCTCTGAACATCTATCATCGTCCTTTTATCTCTCCTCCTTTGTTTATTACTGTCTTGCCAGCCTACTTGTATTTTTGTGTCTCATGTACTTGTCTGTAGCATCTCTAGTAGTCTTTGGCGCTCATATGCCCTTTTTGTTTTGCAAGTGCCATGAAACATTTGCATAAAACAAAAGTATCAAAACAACCTAATTAATACTATAGTAGCCATCTTCTTCTACTTGATTTAGTAAAGCATAGATGAAGGCCCTTGACTACTTAAAAGAAGACACAAGAGGCAGACAAATAAATATGTGGAAAGGGCAATTTTTTTTTGTAGTGTGAAGAAAGTTGCCTGTTTTGCAACCAGTCAAGTAGCCTAGAAGATGTAGCTAGATCTGAGCTATTGGTCCTTTTTGAGAGGTCTCGGCACCAGACTCGGAGTACCATAACTGGCCATCATTCCATGAAAGAGATAGCCTCTGTTGGACTAAACTGTGGTGTGTACAAAATACCAGTACATGTTTTGTACTGTTGGCAACCGTGTATTGAATCCTCACTCAAAGAGCATTTCTAACATTGTGGTTGGCAGGTGCTCTAGTGTGGTTTGCTCCTTTCCTTTCACTATCAATAAAATATCTTTTGTCTTTATCTCCCCTCCTTTTTTGTGTTTGTTACTCTCTTGTAACACCTCTAATCTTCGGCACTTAAAATGTATTACCTATGAACTTATTGTTGCAAGTGCCGTAAAACTCTTTACTGAAACTAAACTAAAATTGTAGGAGGAAGCCTTTTTTTACCTTTTAATTTTAAGCTTCTCCACGCCTAGTAGTATGGTCTTATCTCATCGGTAGTTGATTTAGTAGGCTACTTTCCAACACTTTGTTGAGATGAATTTTGGTGGTCCAATCTATCTATCTTTTTAATTCCATGTATTACCAAGGTGTTGATCGGGATGCCTGCACTGTACCAGTGGTGCAGTGCAATTGGTTGACCATCATCAGTAGTCTGCAGTCGGTCAGTCAAAAGTATACCGTTTTTTAAACTAATAATACATTACACTGACGGAGATATTGATACTAATGATACACGTGTAATTATAAAGATAAAACACACACTGACGGAGATATTGATACTAATGATACACGTGTAATTATAGAGATAAAACACACACTGACGGAGATATTGATACTAATGATACACGTGTAATTATAGAGATAAAACACAAATTGGAACATCTAAAAAGGCTGCAGAAAAATGTTCTATTTTTACTCGCCGTGTTCCATAATTCCACCACCAATTCATCAGACGCCAAACATTGTCCCCGGCCAAGTGGCTTGTTAATCTCGATTGTCCTCGCTGAGAGTATAACGACATAGACTACATAGAATCTCTATGTTAGGCCTACTTCTTTTAGAACTAAGTTAAAGTTAAAAGGCCTGCTGGTGTCTGTGGTACAAACTGTTGTTATTGTAGACATGTAGGCTACATGTAGTATGTAGTGGCGTGGCGTTTCGCTGTTCAAAAGTCCGAGTGGGGGAGGTTTTTATCAAGTAGGCTACCGTATCTCAGTCTATTCGCTGGGATGTTGTATACTCTCAGCCTGGGTCAGTCCTGACTGACAGTAGGCTTACATGTAGGACTGACACTGACAGGCAGTCAGGCAGGGATGAAGCTTGCGGCCACTAACTGCATTTGCGATTCCCAAGTGGGGAGAATTTTTTTATTGAGTAGGCCATGGGAACGAGCAAGGAAGGATGGCTCAGGATAGAGATAAATGGAAGGAGCTTGTATGGCCTATACCCTGTCTGGGGTGAAAGGCACTGATGATGATGATGATGAGGCCATGGGTAGTTGGCGGGTGCTCTGGTGTAGTTTGCTTTTTTCCTATCAAACGTCTTTATCTCCCCTCCTTTTTTGTGTTTGTTACTCTCTTGTAACACCTAATCTTCAGCACTTATATGACCTTATTGTGTTGCAAGTGCCGTAAAACACTTACAAAAACTAAACCTCTGTTTTTCTGCTAGGATGGGATGTTGCAACTGTCTCTGTCAAGTTCATCGTTGGGATCTGTAGGTCTTCTTTGTAAAGAAAAAGGTGCTGGGAATGGGACCCGAAAATAAGATCAACACAAGTGGAGTTTACTGAGATTATGTGTGCAACTGCAAGCAAGAGCAAGAAAACTGACACACAGAAAAATAAAAGCTGATGGTGGACAGGATTTAACTTACTAATTTAAGAATGTATAAAGTTATAGTACTATAAGTGATAATAACCGCCGGCAAATGTAAAAACGTAATAACGTACACATTTTTAATACCGGACGATAATATATGATGTAGCCTATGTTATGGATTACATGTATAAATCCCTGGACACTATCAGCACACAACAGTACAACATGTACGTAGCAAAGACACAAACGTTGGGACATGACATAGCGCAACATAAAAACTGAAGCTCCAAAAAGACACAAATTTGGCCTATAGATGAATGTTTATTTATTACAGGTTTTTCAGGTTTACAAATCATTGATGATGATACATAAATTTATTATAATAATAATGACCATGACAAGAGACAACGATATATAAAGGAAACCATTCTCATTCTCACTCAAACTCGCCAGCACATCATCCACTTCATCAGGAACAAAGCGTAAGTGACACAGCAGCTGATGTGGGTCATACTCATACAGAATAGGTGAAGCCACTTTCACACACACACACAACACATTGAACAATGGAAACTCAGTAGTAGCGAAAAAATAGATTCTAGAAAATAGCCACGTCTTAGCTATACACTCTGCTGACTCAACAAAACTGTCAGTCACTGTCGTCAACAAACTCAAACCACACAGTTGAAAGACGATGAACAAAAACTACACAACACACAGGTAATCTTGATGTAACAACCGTAGGGTGTTGTATGGAAGGAGTCATGCACCACTCTGCCGTAAGAAGACGTAAGCTGACAAAATGCTGATTTTTCATTTTAATTTTAGTGTCGGTCAAAAATTTTCAAAAGCCTGACCAGTTTGAGTTAGCCCACCTGAACTTGTGTAAAAAAAATCAAAGTGAAACTGCGACTAGCTTTTAGACAAATTGAAATTCAAATTTCGGAAGCACTCTATTTTTCAATGGTTGCACAGCAAAAAATCCCCTCTTTTTCTTGAAACTGTCGAGAATTTAAAAAAAAGGCATTTTGTAAGCTTTGGCAGCACTCTATAGCCTTTCTGTGGAATTACGCTACACTACTAGTACTAGAGTCTTGGTCTTGAGTGGTGGGGAAATAAGCTAGAGTTGTTTGTTTGTTTAGTGTAGGGTTTTACGGCGCTCGCAACTGCATAAGGTCATATGAGCGCGTGGGACACATCTAATACTTTTTCGTTGGTAGGAAATTTTGAATTTTGCCCGGGTGGCAGCCGAAGCCTACTCTTATCGATTTTAGACCACCAAGGGATCTTTAACGTGCGCAACTTGCACACGGGCCCTCCGAGATTTTTCGCCCTTGTCCAAGAAGGCTAGGTGTAGATCTTTCCTACCAGAAGATCAGGGGTGTGGCAGAAAGACAGCAGTTAAGAGGAGCCAAGGAGTAGCAGAAAGAGTCAGGAGCCAAGCTAGAGTTGGGAATGGGAAGTAAGACTAAAGTAGTAATAGTAAGAGTAGGTCAGTAGGAGGAGAGATGGAGATTTGAGGTTACGCTCAAGTTTCGTGTGTCTTTTACTTACATTGTACTAGTTTTACTTTTCAACACTGCACACATTATGATTCTAACTCAAGCAGGGTAGTACATGTACTTGATGTACAGAACTAGTACATAAAAAGCTTCAACAAAATGATGCACATGGAATGCTTGTCATATAATTATAATGTCAACCACGTCTACTGCCCTGCTGATTACTGATTGTGGCCAAAGAATTTCTCCTCCCTCCAAGGACAAAAACATGACACTTACATACTGTACACTTTTTTTCTTTTCTACCACCTAAAGAGGGAAAAGATTAATTTTAAGTATAGAAGATAGAGATCATGTACAAGAACAAGGCATAGTCTTTTTTAGTTTGAGTAAGAGTTTTACGGCTCTTGCAACACAATAGGTCATTTGAAAGCCAAAGATCAGAGGTGTTACAATAAAGAGTAAGAGAGAAACAAACACAAAAAAGAAGGAGCAAACCACACCAGACCACCCGCCAAAAACCAACAGACTCAGTCTAATATTGTAATAACTGATGCATGTGTACATACATAGTGACAGTGCAAGAGTGAGACTTGGGGAACATATCGTCAGCAAGCTGGTCAAATGTACTACGCCTAGAAAGCAACTTTTTTCAGGAGAGAGAAATTATTCAAATACTGCTCTATCCTTCTACTTCTACCTACATAATGTAGGTGTACTTTTTTTCTTGCTTTATTGAACATTTAGAATGAAATCAAACAATATACTCTTCAAGCACATGCAGCCGATACCGGTAAACATACCACAAATTTTAAGAGATTGCAATTCAAAAAAAAAAATTAATGAATTAACATTTTGGGCGTAGAACATCTGAACTTGTGGCTGACAATGTGACACAGCACACTCAACAACGCCCATGACACTCATGTGATAGAATATCCTCCACAACACTTAGGCAAGTAAGTGAGTAATGTAATGTATCCATCACTCACAGGCTTCAGTCTACTACATGTACTACATCATGATTATTTAAAAGATCATCACACAGGGTAGAAATTAACTTAAAGACGACAGGCCTACAATCAACGCACAACTTGAAGAAACAATAGATCTATGTTGACTTAGCAACTGAGACTTTTCTGTCCACACTTCCGTTCGCAACAATTATTTTTTAAAAAAGAACTGAAAAAAATCCCAGGTGGTACTTCTGTCATTTAATGGATACACAGCTGACACTGATAAATACCAGTCATAGTAGTATAGTCATTGTGACAAAAGATACACCAGCGACATCACATAAATTCAGCACAGGCAATTCACATCCATCCCACTTCTGTTCTAGCGCTGGGTACCACTATGGGAAAAAAATACACACTTATACCTTTTGCACAACATAAACGTACGTATAAAAACATGATGAATCCACACTTCACTTCAGAGACCAGGCAATCAGGATGATGCAGCTATTACCATGATTTCAATCAAATTTTATGCTGCACACACTCATGAAGAAAATAAATATATATATTGACTACTTGAGTTAAAGTTTACATTCACTTTCAGGACTCTTACTTGACCCCCATATGCCCGTAGCGGGAAACAAGCACTTCCATTTCACGACAGACATTAGACATGTCATGTCGTGTCCCCTGTCTTCACTTCCAACATGGACAGGACATCTAAATATAATTCAACACCTATTTATATCAAATTTGCATAATCCACATTCCCACGTTGCAATGGGCGGAAGTAAACGGGCTGGGTATCTCAACCAAAGAATTTATTTCAGAAGCAGGGATGTGTGGGCAAAGTCCACCACGAGAAGACGAGAAAAAAGAGCTTTTATTAATTTAGCACTATCATTATCATTGAGCGGATGGCTTGTCTTGTTGCAGAACTCTTAAATAATCAATGCAACATGTGTTTCTGGTACTACGTAAACTTTCCACAGGATGCAAACGCACTCAATCTATCATTGTAATCAAACCAAGAAACAAAAATGTTCATCATATCAACAATTCATAGTGGCAAATGAACAGACCTTATTATCAAGGAAAGGGAGCGTAGTGGTAACCAATAGAACAGTCTGCGGATGATCGGCTATTAGAGTAGGATATTTACAGCTCACACCGACTCACACGGCACCCTAGACAACATGAATGGCTGACAGAGACACAGGTGGCCCGTCTCTGCCCTTCTTTCTCACTGACACACGGCACACCCAGCACATGAAAGCCCAGGGAAAAATTCTCATTCACAATAGAGAAATATTACGATGATGGTACGCTCCCCCCCCCCCAAACACATACTTCAACTCAACCCAGTCACAGTCATTCATTTTGCAGTGCCTGCCTTGCTTACTTATTATATACTGACCCTCGCATCATCATAATATCAAACAGGGAACGTCAAAGTTCTACCCCCGGAACAACCAACAGGCTAGACTTGTTGCCCATCACCACCGCACCACATCCAAGGCCTAGACCCAAGCATTTCACCCTTACACTTACACTGCTAGAAATTTCAACAGCAGACAAACTGTCATTTCCATGCCAAGTTTGACAATCAATGAAATGGCAACCCCCCCCCCAACAAAAAAACCCACAAAAAACCGAAGTACGCAGTGGTGGTAGGCTACTTTTGATTGTAACGGATTGACTTTTAAAATTTAAAATGTTATTATAACCTCATCGGCACAATGCAATTCATAAAATTTATGAGGCAAGCTGTTCAAAACTCCCTGTGAGGGTAAACCCCAGCTACGTGGGATTCAGTCCCAGAGGAAAGATAGGAAGAGATATCAGGGAGAAAAAAAATTGACTTTCCCTGGTAGCGCATTGACAATAGGCCTACCATTTGAATGCGATGGTCAAAGGCCTAACCATTCTACAGCTTGTTATTAAGGTTTTACTGCGCTCGCAACTGCATAAGGTCATATTATTATTATGAGCACCAAAGGGTGGGTGTCGAAAGAGAAGTCCAAACGGGGAATCAGGCTTACTCTGCTCACCTCTCTAGCCTCAACAGCACAAAGTCTGCTTCGACTATTAAGGCACCCCGGAAAATAGCAGTTCACAAAAGAAGTAGAAGAAAAATAACGACAGTAAGGATGAGGAAGGAAAAAGCAGCAGTTCCCCCTATGTTGTTCCAGAACAGCACGAGCATGACATTGATAAATCAGCCCATGTACAATTCTACAGTTCATAAGAACATGTTAATAATATTAATATCCCCCCTTTTGGAATGGCCTAAGGATGTCTGCAGTCAGTAGCACTGCCCTGGAGAAGGACATGAGAATCTTTAAACTGATGAGTTATTTTGACACGCTAGCGATGACACTCATACAGCAAGTCAGCATCAGACATAACATTGCAAAAATAACTAAATCACACAACTTTCATGCCAAAACGAACAAAATGGAAGCATGACGGGCAAAAATTCTCATGACAACTAACCAGACCAATGACCCTGAACAGTAAAAATCATCTTAAGTGATAACATTCCATCTGTCAACCGAAAGTCAATATATTCAAAGGTGGGTGCTTTGATCAAGTACAGCTTACGGAGTGAAAGCCTCAAACATTTATTCAAAAAAACAGAAGAAAGTAACTAATAAGGCTGAAAGACGGCTTGATCTTACATTTCTGAATTTCAGTTTACTCAAGAACATTTTCTTTTTGTTTTGAGCTCAAAACGAAGTGATTCCCAGGAGATAACCTCAAAAGATGTCCATTCCTCAAATTCATCTTGCAGAAATAGCCAAATACCCTTGCAATGAGAACGTAACTCTAAAAACAAAAAAACAAATCAGTTTTGTTAACAAAGAGGAATCGTGTAAGCAGCAGACACGTCTAACTCCACCCCCGGTGCATTTCCCCTCTCTCCCACTACAGCTAACGCGACACATCTGGGTTAAATACAAGGAATAATTGTCAAAAGGCATGCTCAACTAAAAATATACGGAAGATTTATCGCCAGGCTTTATCAATAATTATGAACGATTTCCACAATCTTTTCTTGTTTGTTCCGGGTAAAAAAACACTTCCAGCTCAACTACCTACCACTCCCTCTCTATCAAAATACCCTGCACGTATGACAATTATTACACAAGAAGCAGGAAGAACGCATTCGCTACATTGCAACTTGATAATTGGAAAATGTCAAGATGACAACGAATTTACATCCATCATCATCATTAAGTTAAACTTCCTCTGGGAATATCCAGTCAGAAACGTGTTCACACATGGCAACTTAACATCAAGGTGACAGACAGACTTTGACACCAATTCAGTAAAAAAAATATATTTTCAGTTGCTTTGTCCTGTTCCAAATCCCAGGCCTCTATATCCTAAAGACACTGATTTCTCATGCACCATCTACATAACTGAAGTTACGACAATCTCTCAGCTTACAATCTTTTTGCTGCAAAACAAAACAAAAATATATGGACAGCAAATTGCATTTTGAAATGTTGCCTAACAAAATTCTATATAAAGAAATAGAAAAATCAAAACAAACTAACACAGCGTGTTTATAAACAGAAAGCGATCAAAGAATCCCAAAGCCAAATCCAAAAAGTCACTTTTAGCAGAATCTCCTGTGGGTTGCATCATACATTTATTGTACCCCACCAGGTTAAGGGTGAATTGCAAGGACATGACTTTTTGGGACCCGTCCAAAGAAGGACATCCCGTGACTTCACAAAGACTGGTTTGCATTTTGAATTCGCATTAAAAAAAACAACAAATAAACAAACAAACAATAACCTAACCGATCGAACAGAAACATATCATGATGCATGTAAGGTCTACTAATATTAACAATAAAAATAATACTATTAACAGATTGCATACACCCATAAAAACGAAGTTGGCTCTATGCACATCCAAGGTGTTGCTGCAAGAGACTACTGTAATTCCTAATCCAAGAAAAGAACCATGTTTGCAGTTATCAATCTCAACAGACTGCCAACCCATCTGGATATCTCTTCAAAAAAATAAATCTATCTAAAGTCTGACTGTACAAGCACAAAGGGCAAAAACTAGGATAGATTTTAAAGCCACAGGGCAGAAGAAGCAGGTTTTAAAATTCAAGTTTCTGTCTTCAATAGGTGAACAGTGCAAGACAGTTAATGGCCCTAATCCAACCCCTTTCTGAAGAAGTGAAAGTCTTTGAAAGTGAACTTTAACATGGTTACAGAATATCAAATCAAAATGTTATCAATGAGTATTTTCTGATTTTCCAGTGTAACTTTACTAAGGGCTGAATTTTTATAACCTTTGCAGCACCAATAATCACACAGGAAAGCTTTTTAATAAAAATGCTTGATGTTCAGAAATATTAAAAAACCCACCTCCCTCTGAATTACAGAAAATTCTTGTGAAACATACTGTACAATGCCCTGAATCAAAGTCAAGCATAAAAAACTGACAACATTCATCCATTCGACAACTTTGCAGGAGACGAGATACCATCAATATAGGAAAACAGAAGCTTTACCCGGATGCATAAACAGCTCATGTAGACAGAAAACCTGCGGACTTAAAATGGCAGTGACCCCATGAGCACGGAGCATGAAATATGGTCATGGGTTGGAAAATGACTCACCACTCTCCTCTGGCACCGCACTGCACCACGCAAGCAGCCCGTCCCGTCCCAACCAATAAGACACTTTTACTGTGACAATGCACACACTCAAAAATCTTACTAAAACAACAAATGAAAGCCCAGGGCCTGTCATACGCCAAACGTCACAACCAGACTCTCCTTGTGCTCGATCTTGATTTCCCTTGCAGCACTGGCCAATTTTTCGCTGAAATCATTGATCTGCAAACGAGAGGTGAGAAAGAAGAAACAATATTTTACTCTGTTCATTTCTTTACTATTTTTAGAGAGAGAAAAAGCACAAAGTTGAAATTAAAAAAAAAAAGGGTTGGTTGTGGGGGGAGGAAGGGAGGAAAAGGTATATACACACACACACACACAAGAGGGAGAGAAAGTAGCCTACAGGAAAAAAACCAACCCCATCTACAGAAGTGAGGCCCACAAATCCTGCTCACTTCATGTCACCCGAAGGCATTAAAAAGTGGCAGCATAGTTTTTAAAAAACTCTTTTTATTAGATCCACTACACTGATCACACTTGCTATTGAAACAAGATGTAATTTTAAAGGGGTGCGTATGACCTTCACAAAAGGGCTTTGCTGTCACTGGGGGGGAGGATATGTGTGTGTGTATGTGTGTGTGTGTGTGTGTGTGTGTGTGAGCATGTGTGAAATCATCCCATTATCATTAATTCCGATGGGAAGAAGGCCAGGAAATTTTTTCTGATTAAAGTACAAAAAATTACCCCCCACATATTGTTCTTATTTGAAAAGGGATGAATTATTTAGAATGGACTTCATACATTATGGCATGTTTTGTGTAATTTAACTCTTTCGGTCTATCACATTGCTTAAAAAACAAACAGTCTATTGCCGTAAGTCGTAAACCATTCATGTTTTAAGGAGGTTACACTTTTACAGGTGATGCACTATACCAAAGAGTCTACATAACAAGAAGGTCCACTCCTCTCTTAGAGCCAATTAAAAAAGTGTCCTCAAAATTCGGTGGCACCCTCTTCGCAAATGCGCACCCATTGCGAACAGAGTTACCCAACTAGTGTTAAAAAAATCAAAGTGAAACTAACAAGTTTTTGAATGAATAAGAATTCAAATTCTGGAAATATGCTTTTTTAAAATGGTTACGCAGACAAAAAACCGCTTCCGGAGGAAGGGATGACTGTTTTCTTCGTTTAATTTGACTTTAAAATGAAAGGCGAGAGATCATTAAAATAAAAAAAACCCTAAAACTCCGCACTGAACAAACCCGAACTGCTGATGAACAGCAGTCGATCTGCGCACGCAAGGAGGTGCTATTCCTATTCTTCTTCTTGAGAAACAAAAGAGAGCTTCAAAACAGATGCTGCGCCATCTGAAGCAAGGAGCAGACTTCCGGTGGACACTTTTTTGGCTGAGTGGACCATCTTGTTATGTACTATCTTTGACTCTACTCACCAATTGTAAATCGGACAGGGAAACTGGTGGAGCGGACAGAGTCATCTGAGGGGAAGTGATCCCATTTGGCAAGTTGGGCCGGTACACTCGGCTCTTCCCTGACCCGGACAGCACCATGTTCAGCCGATTACTGGGGGGGGGGGGAAGGTTGGTTTGTTTGAGTTAGAAAGAAGCACATCAACACAATAATAGTAACAGTCATTTAGTGCTGGGAAAATGTAAAACAGACGGAAACAACAGAGGGAAAGTAAAGAAGTAGGACCTAACAGAGGGGGGCCCTCCGACCACCCTCTCAAGGAATGTGGTATTGAAGAAACCGAGAACTCATTTTTACAGAAGCAACCACAGTCCCATGCTGAAAAGACGAATAGAGAGTGAGCACAGGAGTCAAACAAGACACAATGACAACTCCCTGTCACCTTTAAAACATAAGAGAATTTAAACTTTAAAAATTCATTCATTTAAATATAAAAATGTTAAATATATATTTCACGCATTTCAGCATTGCTTAAAAAACAAACAGTCTTGTGCCTGCAAGGATAAGACCTTGTCAAGAGGGCAGAGATGTGTGTAGGTGTAGCCTACCTGTACTGCGTGGCTCTGTCTTGCATCTCACCCTGCTCCAAGTTCTGCGACTCCGTCGACGTGACATCGATGACATTGCTGAGGAGGAATACAGAAGTTCACTCATGATCAAAACATTTCGTAATATGCACAAAATTAAATACTACCATAAGTTCTCTTTCATCATAAATGATGGAATTCTTTCTTTTTTTTGGTGTTAAACTGGACACAAATTGATTCAGAGGAATCTGTGCATTTGACAAAACAAACCAAAGCCTAATGAAAATCCAAGTCAAATCTGATTCTGGAAAGAAACCCTAAAAAAACAACTGAATAACAGTAGAAACACCGAAAAGACAAATGAGAGCAAGGGAAAGACAAAGAAAAGGCCAGATGAGAAGTCAGCAAGGGATATCATACAAAAAATGCAATTACAAATCAGTCTACAATATAAATGGACTCCCGGGCATTGGATAATAAATAGGGGGGGGGGGGGGGTTCCTTATCCAGACAATGCAAAATTATAACAGGTCAAAATTTCACACACTTTACAGGAATACATTTAAAAAAAATTAAAATTAATACTCACATTGCAGTCTGCCTTAGAATTCTGTTGAACTCTGACTGTTCATCTCCCTTCTGGTTCTGCTGTGAGTATGTTGACCCTGACCTTGCTCTGAGGACATAGTGCCAAAAACGTTTATTTACGCTTACACCATACAGTAACAGATTTGAGAACACTTCGACTGCCAAGTGTTTATAAGACCCAGCAAAGCACAATTTTAAAAAGTGACATAAGAAGAAGTGTAACACTGAGCAGTTGACTTGTAACCCAAAGAGGATTGCTTACAGAATGTGAACCAAAAAAAAAACACAAAAAAAAGAAGAGTCCAATTTCATGTACTAAAACTACTATATGCACGGCACACACTAGGAATGAACCTATCTTTTATCTAAACACTACTTTACTTTCTACAATAATGCCGCCAAATTTCATTATAAGGAATAATTTTTATTCTCTTCTCTCAGACAAGTGGCAATGTTCAGTCTTGTCCAGGAGAGTGAGCGAAACTGTATAGTCTGGGTAGGTTTGAAGCCACTTGCAACACTATGAGGTCATTTAAGAGGCAGGACCTCCCGAATTTAACTGCTGTCTCTGATAGGGCAGAGTGGAACAGTTTGTGTAAAGTGCCTTTCCCAAAAACAAAGTCTGTCCCAGCCAAGCCTCGAACATGACACGTGTCATTAGACCAACAGATACACACTCTTAGTTTTAGTAGAGGTTTTACGGCGCTCACAACTGCATGTGGTCATATGAGCGCCAAGGGGTGGATGTCAACAGAGAAGTCCTTACAGGGAAATCAGGCTTACTCTGCTCACCTCTCTAGTTTCAACAGCACAAAGTCTGCTTCGACTATCAAGGCACCCCGGAAATAGTAGGTCACAAGAGAGCGACAAACATACAAAAGAGGTAGAGGAAAAAATTATGATAGTAAGGATTAGGAAGGAAAAAGCAGCAGTTCCCTTTTGCAGCTCAGGCACAGATATGAGCATGATGATATTGATGAATCATCCCATTTACAATTGTACAGTGCATGAATATGTTAATGTCCCCCCCCCCCTCCTTTTGGAAACAACCTAAAGACACTTCAGTCAGTAGCAACCCCCTGGGGGTCAGGTACACACTCCTCTGACTAACAGAAGAATGCCCACTGATGTTTAAAATGTCTGTGTCTCTTGGGAAACAAAAAGGAGCTGGTCGTTACACTGACAACTTGAGAGGTCACAGAATAAAACAGTTTTAAACACATTAACTTTACGTTCTTAACTCACCCTTGTATCTGCTGAATGTGGTCAGCCTGACCTGGGTCAAGCAAGGGTGTCCTTTCGCTGGCATTAGGAATCTGGAAGTAAACGGATTGGTCAATTTAAGCAGACACACAAATTTGAGAACACTGATGATTCTAGACAAAAAGCAAAATTTGAAAGAATAAATCATCACAACAGTATGGAAAATTTGAGTACATGTTGAGGCGCTGCATTCATTTACAAGTATTCAACAAATAAACTCACGTCTCTGTCACAATTCTATTTTATACTCTATCATGAGAGTGATTTGCACTAAAATTACCAATTAAGAACTGTTGAGAAGTACATCACTTAAAGTCAAAGAACTGTTCATATACCAGTACTTAGTAACCGTGGGGTTTCAGGGGGCCACTACATATGTAGCCTACCCATAATTTGATGTTTTGAAACCAGGACTTTTTGGGGGGACACCATTGATCTGAAATAGTTCTAATGGAAACAAGTGAGTTTGGCAGCCCAAAATATGAATTGGCCCTTAACACTCTGCCCCAAAAGGACGCCAATCAGTGACGGTAAAACGAAGCCGTCCCTTTCCCCCACTGGACACCAATACCATTGGCCACTGGCAACAACAAAAAAACAACAAACCAACCACACATAAAAACAATAACATGAGCGGACCATGGAGCTAAGTGGACAATAGGGGTAGATCTAATTAGAGTTGGAACAGGCCGAGCTTTGCTTCGCAGCACTCGCAAGTCGCGAGCAGGGCCGAGGGGGTTGCAATTATGCAAATGAGCTCTTGTGCACATCTTTCACCCTCCATTGTACTTTGCCGGACCAAGAGCAGGCCTAGGCCTAGCCTAGCAGAGTCGCAAGCAAATAAGAATAGTCGACCACGTGATTAGATTGACCATTGACCAATTAGCCTCAAGGTGTCAGGGTCATGGGTCAAAGGGCACGGTGGCATGGTCGTGATGACTGAAAAACCCGGTAAGAGACGTCAGTCGGTTGTTGGCCGTCGAAGGGTGAGGACGTGTAGAAAACTGAGTAGGCTGTACTGTAGGGTAGGCTGTAGGAGGGGAGCTCGGAACGGAAGAACAGCGGACCACTAGACTAGGCACCAGGGGCGCCATAGCGAAAGAAGTTCTGACCGGTGGTCCGGTAAAGTACAATCTTACCGAATATATTAATAATACTGGTCGGCAATGAAAGATGAAATACAAAAAATTGGAAATCGCAACTTACACTTTACAATAGTTGATGAGTTGCAACTGCAATGCAATCAATTTACAATCCAATCACAAATTCACTGAAAGTGAAAGCAAAATGGTTGCACAAATGCAACTTTAAAACAAATGCATACAGTTTAATAGTACGGTTATATAATAACAAATAAAGCTTACACCAACATCCTTATCTTCGTCAGAACTAAAACAGCATCCCATTTCCCTAGTGATCACGGAACGCCTCAAGCTTCAGGTGCTCAGTGTCAACATCTCTGAGAAATCGCCGACTTCCGATCACTCTCACATGATATGAGTACTGCACTTTGACAATCTCAAGTTGTTGGTTCGTCGATAAAATTCTGATTACATCTAAAAAAAAAAGAATATCAGGACCTTATTTTTTTATAAGTATCAAGTGATTATAAATCTTCAATCTGAGGGTGTATCTTTCATAAACATTAACTTTTCTTGAATTTATTGGCTTGGAAAAATCAGCAGAAACAATGAAAACTTCCGGCAAAGTAGGCTAACTTGTTTTGTCAGGAAGTTGTAGGCCTAATCGAAAGTAGGAAATTCAGAAAGTTGATGAAAGTGAAAGGACGTGTTTTATTCTTTTTTTATGAGGGCAGAGCCATGTGTCATTAAAATTTCTTTCATACCACCAGTGAGTGATGGATTTGTGCCTATTAACTCACCGAAGTTAAGGCCTTACTTAGACTACTTTACTTTGAATTGCGGCGAGAAATCCCACTCACACACACAGCAGTAGGCTACTGTAGGCCTACACAGCTGAGCAGACTACAACCTGTCCTATAAAAGTAAAAGTATATAAATAGGCCTATAGTATAGAGACGCAGGGCAGGACATGATCCACCACTTATTACTATTAGTATGCCTTACTCATATAAGGCTTATATTGTATTTTAAAGATTGTATGATACTGTATTTTGATTTTGATCGAAAATCAAATTCTTCTCTATGCAGAGAGAGGGAGTGAGAGAGAGAGAGAGAGAGAGAGAGAGAGAGAGAGAGAGAGAGAGAGAGAGAGAGAGAGAAGCAAGACAGTCATTTAAGCCCTGGGGATGAGAGCGGTGCATGCAATCTGCAATATGAATCAATCAATGGTGATTTGGATTTGGACCTAGGCTCAGATTTATACTCAGCTTCAACCTATCACCTTTGTGTGCTTGATCCCTTTGCCTGTCTCTTCTAGTTGATGTTCAAAGTTTTTCTCTTAGTAGTCTTAGGCTTCTCATTTTACATGGATTGATTTTGTTTTGGTGAAAATCTTCTTGTTTATCGTCCATGTTTGGGCTTGGTGGCTTGGTTTGAGAAGTTGATGTTCATACGTGCCAGTGCTTTGTTTTCAATGTGAATGTAATGGTGCCAGTTTGGTAAGTCAGAATATTTTCATCGTGGTCTCTCTTTCTCTTGACTTGTTGTTAACACTTTGCCGTCACATCTCGCAGATCAGCGATGTTTACCACCCTGTTTCTTCGGATTTTCCCCAAAATGCCTTTGCCTTTGATGGTAAGGGTTTTTACTATATATGAGCTTTGTGATGGCAATGTGTTAATGTACCTAATATATTCATAAATTGTACTTATATTATTTTCAGGCTGACAGCGTAGATCTTTCAGCTCATGGCAGACGATAAGACTGCTGGTGTTGAGGCCTCGGCCATCAGTATTCTGAAGAGAGCTGTTGAACTGGACAACACTAAGAGGTTTGATGAGTCATTGACATGTTACCAGGAAGGCGTTGGCTTGCTCATGCAAGTTTTGAAGTGTGAGTCTTTTTCCAGCTATTGTTGGTGTCACAAGAAGCAGTCCACTCAAGTACGTTTGGGTACTCTTTACACCAGAAACAAAAGAACTAGATTTTGTTGTGTTGTTCCCTATCAGGAATCATGAAAGGCAAGAAAATTGTAAACCTTTACCGCAGGTTCTTAAAATTTGTGGCCTAGAGGTTAAAAGGTGTCGCCTCTCCTTCAATAGGTCCTGGGTCCGAATCCGCGAATCATCTTTTGCAGTTGTGAGCGCCGTAAAACACTTTTAACAACAAAAAAAAAATTAGGAAAAAAAGCCATGACCCATTTTGGTGATGTTGAAAGGTATATAATCTTTGATAGAGCTTTAGGAGGGTGCAAGAGTTGTACATTCTCAAAGTTTGGACTTTAGTGGCTTGCTTGCAGCAACGATGGTATGCAGGCCAGTTTCTGTCACTGTGTGGACCAGTCCTAGTTGTCCTTCTGCCTTAGTCTTATTGTCAAGAAATAAAGTCTTGAGTTTTAGAGTACTGGTGTTGTTGGATTATTTATAGAAATACGTTTTTTTAATATATATATATTCTTGGTTTCTCATTGGAATTTAAAATTTAAAGAGGTAGGATAGTGTAAGATCTGACTTGGTGGGGAAAATTCACTCACCCCTCTCAGCCATTGAAGACACACTGCTGACATTGTCGATATTAAATATGTGTATTAAGTTTTTTTCTAATGTTTTTCCTGATCTTGAGGAATTCTAAAAAGTTGTTTTGAAATAATAATATTCTATAACGAAGCTGCTCTTTCTTAATCTAAAAAAAACCATAATTTTTAAAAAGCTTTGTTGAGATTTCCAATATGGCCTTCTTTTTCACCATTTGTTGGCTCATTCATTTTGAGTTTCGTAGATAAAACTCGATGTGGAAAAAGGTGATGAATTTTTTTTTGTTGGTGCCACCAACAGCTGTCAACGATGCAGGGAAGAGACAGAGATATCGGCTAAAGATTGAGGAATATCTCGCAAGAGCAGAGGAGCTCAAGGTGTTTGTGAAAGAGGAGAAAGAAGGTACTTATGATGATTAATTTCTATAAAATCAGTATAAAATTAAGATCAATATCAGCTACCTTGATAATTTGTACTGTTTGATAATGTGTATTGGCACTGAATTATTGTTTTCTCCTTCCAGAGAGGGATGAGGGGAGGTGATAATGATTTTTCAAGTATCATCTATTTATTAAGATGTTTAAAATTCATGGCATATCAGAGGCTCCAGTCCATGGTTGAAGAAGTTTGATGGTCTGTGGAGCTATCGATCACACAGGAAGAAGTGACCTTGAGCACATTCAGGGAAACTTACTTAACTGCTCAAAGCCACATAAACAACATTGTGGAATGTCATACTGTTCCACTCCTCAAGGTGACCAGGAGCGATTTTCCAGCAGGACAACGCAAGACCCAATACTGTCCGTCTCACCATAGACTATCTGAAAAAAACCCCCATGTTTTGATTCTTTCTTGGCTCTCAAACGCGCCTCATCTTTATCCTGATTGAGCACATTTGGGACATCTTAAAAAGGTGCGTCAGAGATTGAGTTATCGCCTCTACGGCTCTGGCTGAACTTTTTAAAGCCCTGAAAAAAGAGTGGAGAGCCTTTCCCATTGTTGCTACCGTTCACCATCTCATTGTTACCATGCTCACAAGGTGCTAAGAAGTTATGAAGTTATCAGGGGGATACATGATGATACTAATCAGCCCCTGGAAATGACATAAAAAGTCTGTACATTTCTTTTCTGTACTGTTGAATGAAAGAGATCTGTACTTTACTTTATTTAAGTTCCATAAAATAATTTTTTGTTTGTAAGTCATACATACATTACATAGGTTGGCCTATATATATATAAATATAGATCTATATATCGTCAGCCAGCTGTTCAGATGCACCAAGTCCTAATTTGTTGAATTTTCTTTTTTGATTGCAGGAATTGGTTGCATGTGCTCAGAAATATTTTGGTGAAATTCAAATTCTAAATGTTGAAAAAAAATAAGCAAGCAAAAATATATAATATAGACTATAGAGGTGTACATTTGTTAATTGAATGAAACAGGTTTTTTTTTATCTCTCTTTAGAAAAATTGTGTTTCCTTGACTTTGTACATTTGAACAGCTTTCCTGTCATTAATGATATTTTATACTTTATGTAGTATGATAATGCTATGACATCATTGCATGTGGTAGACTGGAATGGGCAGACATCCTTCTCTTTTTTTGTTCCCTTAAAAATTCAAGCATCCAAGCAACACGAGCAGATCCACATAGAGCCCGACACGACAGGCCATTCATATGACTCGCTATTCGGCCGATACCTGAACCAACATGTGACCGCCGTGGAAGTGGAGGACCCGTACATACGGTCACACCATCAGGTCAGAGCTAGTGCAGAGGAGAGTTTTTTCTTCTGGTACTTTGAATTTATGTGGTTATTTGACGTTTTCTTGTCATAACATTCACACGCCAAATTGTGCTTACAATAGGAATGTCATTGATTGTTACAATATAAAGGTCAAATGAAGATGAAAATTATGAGACTCCAGACTTTCTCAGTTTAAGAAACTGCATAGGCCGTACTGATTTTTAAAAAAAATCATGAAAGGATAACTGGTTTAAGCAGGTGGTTGGAGGGAGCTACTGGTGGTTGATCCAACTTAAAAATTTTTTAAAAATTGTTTCTGTCTGTCTTATTTTTTCTGTTGCACTAAATGACCATTATTGTGCCAATGTGCTTCTCTTTATGTTAAAGAAACAACAGCCAAACAATCGCTAGATAATAATTTTTTCCATCATGCTCTCGTTTCAGGTTCAGAATTTCCTTCGTCTGTGCGAGCTGATTGTCAGCAGGAAGTCACCCGTCAAAACTATCACTTTGACAACTGGCAGAGATGATGTAAGCAATTTTTGGATCAATATTATAACACCCTCCAACACTTTCGCTCTTACACTTGCTGGCACTCTCTTTTTTTGAACTCATATTTCTTTATTCCGTCTCTATTCTTCCCTATTATCCATGAGCCGTTTTTTTCCTTTTCAGGGCAAACATGTTAGATTTGGCAAAGATATGTACCGTAATAAATATGAATGTTTAGGGACTGCAGTTTGTGTATATTTGAAATAAAGTTCATCATAGACCTTTCAGGTGAGTTACAGAAACAGAATTGGTGTGGATATTGATCTAGTAAAAAATTATATGTTTTTTAAATGCTAGTTTGTTTTAAGTGCTACATGGCAGTCAGTACTTTGTGATTGACCTTCAGTCACATGACATGGGCCTGGTTTATGATACTGAATTTTCATGATATCGCAACCTCGGTGCTTTCTTGTCGTATCTCCATTTTTTTACTTTGATAATGTGACTTCTTCTGAAGCTCACTCTTTGTTATGAACGGTTTTCACTGTTAAGAAAAATGGAGATATGACAAGTAAGCTTTGAGGTCGTGATATGATTGTGTTGTATATTCACTCTCACTGTATTGAATTGATCTGTAATAGCAGGATGTAAGCTTTTTTAACCCTATCCGTATACCCTGGGGTCATTTTGTACCTCCGGGGTTGTATTCTTCGCATTTTAGAATACTTTTAGTACGAAGATCTCTTTGAAACTTTCAGTATTTCTCAAAAAATAATTTTTACAGACTTCTATGCAAAGCGGACGGATCAGATTAATGAGTAAATTTCCTCTTTGGAAAGGGGTGGTACAGAGTTCCCCACGTCTTATGGATACGATAGTAAAACACAACGTGCTGATAGGGTTTATGCTACGGTAGTCTGTTTTAAGGTGTACATGGCTGTCAGTATTTTGTGATTGACCCTGTCATATGATATGGGCCTTATTTATATTACCGAACTTTCTCTTTCATGATATGGATCTGTTGTACGTCTTTCTCACTGTATTTAATGGTCTTTAATTGCTGGATGTAAGCTTATTTTAATTTTAAGTTCTTTTCCACTGTATTATCGGCCTTCTTTGCCTCAGGAAATGAGTCGTCAGCAGCAGCAGCACCAGTGGCTTCTGGCCGTGGGGAAGTCTCTACAGTCGCGCGGCATTCGCTTACAGATCATCTACTCCGACACTCTTCATGATCGGGAGATCAGGTTTGTTTGGTGATAGTCTAGCGAGAAGTCAATTGTTTGTCAGCCTGAGTTAAACAAAAGCACAGCCACATGATAATATTCACCTATTCACTTACTTCTGATGAAACTACACTACTAATGACCATCTGTCTAAGACATTCATCTGTATAATCGACCATTTTCAACTTCTCCCTTTGCTTTAACAAAATTATAATGGCACTGCCTAAGACGTCCACCTGGCTTAGACAACCTTTTTTCTCTGCGACAATAGGTGAATGTTTAGGAAAATTTAGATTATATGGTTACATGTTAACGGTTCAATTCAAGAAAACCGTATGTCGCATTTTTCTAAAATTAACTTTTTTTGCTTTTCTGGGGCCGCTGATCTTTCTCCGTCCCGTATCTTTTCGGTGTAAGGATTAGACTGTTTGTGGCAAACAAATTTATTTTTCCGAACTCTTGGTAAATCATAGATGCGTTGCTAAGCCATTAGTCCAATCTGTCTGTCATAGACGTTTAATATGCTGTGAACAGGGGCTTTCTGACAAAGATGTAGAGATAAAAATGTAAAATTTCTCCTGGAGATATAATAGTTATAGTTTAAAAAATGGGTTCAAATAATAGGGGAATTTTCTTACCATTCAAATTCGACCTATTATTTTAAATTATTCCTGAGTAAATGTTCATGTATCTCTGCAAATTAGTTTGTTTTTACAAAGGTCAGCTAATGTTTAAAATGCTAAGTAGGCCTACAGTCTAGCACTCATGTATAGAGGGAACAGATTTTTAGGTCCTGAATTTTTTTTCTTAAACATGTACATTCTTTGTCATTAAAATAGATACTTGAGGTACATCGCGGAATTTGTACTCAAAGAAAAGATTTCCTAGGCCTGTCGATTTTGCTATGTGTGTGCTAGACTATATAAATTTTCATTTTCAAATGCTTTTGTTGTTATTGATCCAGTTAAAATTTTAAAATCTTTTTTGTTTCAGGTTGGACACTGGTTGGGTGATCAAAATTGGTCGAGGTTTGGACATTTACAAGAACTGTGATAAGTTTTCTATTGGCTTTTGTGATATGGAGCTTCGCCCGTGTCATGAGACGACGGTAGATATTTTCCATAGGAAGTCGATGAAATCTACTTGCCCTTCCTGATGATGGTGAAACTTTAGAGAGAACTGCTTCCGGAACGCTCCCTTAACTTAAATGTGCCTGATGTGTGATCCCCCATATACGAGACTGTGGACAATTGCAGTCCACTGCGCTCTGCTTATACCAGCTCTACTGGTTTGGATTTCCTTCCGAGACCAGGGACAGGGAATACCCTCCTTGTGGCCACTTGAGAGATAAAGTTATATATGTTGTCCATGGGGTTTGACCAAAGGGGTGAAAGGGAAAGTCTGTACGGTGCTCCAAATTTGGTGTGATCAATAAAAACATTTTTATTTTTAAACAAAAAAGGGCTAAGAAAAATTTGCCTCTCTTCTACCTCGGAGATGAGATTCGCAATACCGGTACTGTACTAGTTAAAGGATGCAAGACAGTATCTTACTGAGTTCATAATGATGATACCGATAGCATTAAAAGCATTTTAGATGTGATTAGAATTCTGGCAGGTCTTTCCAAGCGTACCGGTACACAGGATTGATCGCTGTAACTGTAAGTTAGAAATGAAATCCAGTCTGGCATGCACATAGTGAACTCATGTTGTTGTTTTTGTTTTCAAATCCCTTTAGCTGCAAGCATTCCGCTCTTGGCAGCGCAATGCCTCCCTCAAGAAGTGAAGTCATAGCTAGCTAAAGGAGAACACATAGCAAACTGATTTTCAGGCTCCAAATTTGTTTCTCTTATCCTATTCTTTGTAATAACACTTTGCCATCACAAGGCTTGTATACAAGGCCATCTATCGTGCTAGAACCCGTCTGCTGGGACATTTCAGTAACCCAATTTCAGCACTTTTTAAGGACCCCCGGGCGAGTGTTGAGTTTCTGCGTGCTGTCGGCATCGCTGACCGTTTATGAAGCCACAGCGCCAGAAGAGAGAGAGAGAGAGAAGGCTCGTATTGTAAAAACCCTTGCCATCAAAGGCATTTTGGGGGAAATCCGAAGAAACTGGGTGGTAAACATCGCTGATCTGCGTCTTGTGATGGGAGCGGAAGTTCGGCATTCTGGCTGATCGGCGAAATGTGACGGCAAAGTGTTAAAAACGCATGTGTTGCGACATTCGTAACATAAAGAAAAGATTTCCGTTTCCTGCAGGTTTTGCTATGTCATGTGTGTGTGTGTGTGTGTGCCAGACTGTTTTTGTATACTCTGTACTTTGATATTTTTGCAAGGTGCTAGAAGATAATGTGGCCACCTGTGGTGTTGTGGAAGATCAGTATTGCTTCTTACCTGAATAGCCATTACATTATAGCGAGTCTTTATGTTTGCTTGTCCTTTGGTTTGTACCAGATTTATCATTTTTATGTTTCAACTTCAATGTCACAAAACTGGTCACTGTTGCATTGTCAGTTGTGTTTTTGAAGAATGTCTAGGGAACAAATGGTCGCTTTTAAGTAAGCACGAGGGGGCTATCCCAAAAAATACTGTTTTGAGAAAATCAAAGGTAAAGTTTTTGCCCCTTTTTCAGTTTCTTTAAAAGACAAGGAGAGTTTTCTCTATAACCAAATAAATATACACACCAATGAAACCAAACTTCTCCTCTATAGGTAGGGCAATATCCACTCTCGGTGTAGGTAAAGATTTTTGGAAACCCTCGAAATCTGGGTTGGCCCGCTTGTCCTTAAAAAAAAGTGACGAACTACGAGTGTCTCTGTGTGTGTCACTGAGGGTGTGGGGGTGAGTGGCTGAGGGTTATGAACTTTTTTCTGTAAAATCTACACGGCAATGTGTTTTTAAATGGACATAATACGCACGGTATTGAGACAACAACAGAAATTCGATAAAAATTACCTAATCTGCAGAAGAATTTCAGTTTGTTCAATTTTATTATTTGACGAGCACATAATTTCACCACGATGCCTCACACAATTTATGTAGTGAGACAAATAAATGCTTTGTCCTTGTGGGCTCGGAGATGCTGCCCATGTCCCTTTCAAAATGTATGATAATATTAGGAAACAATAAAGTTCTTTAAAACTTATATCGTCTATCTTTTTTGTTTGTATCTAAATTAGCTTCATGATCCCCTCTATTCAGTAACTGATGCTGGGGCTGCCATTAGCTCTAGCTGAAACATATACTTGCGGGTGGTTGGATGGTGAAAAATGGTGAAAGAGTACAAGTCTATCGCCCCTTTTAACACTATTAGGTTATTTAAGAGGCCGGACCTCCGATTTTAACGTCTGTCTCCGAAAGGACCGCGCCATACAGGAAATTCGTGTAAAGAGCCTTTCCCAAGGACACAACGTTAGACTGAGCTGAGGCTCGAACTCAGAACCTGCAACCTCACGATTACAGTTCTAGTAGCCTAACCACTTGGCCGCCGACGGCATACATGGTATGCATAATATCAGTTCATTTTTTTGGTTCACTTTGGTAAGTTTGACAGCGCTCGCAACTGCATGCGGTCATATATATGAGTGCGGGACAGCATTTTTAGTCCGAAGGGAATTAATTCAAAATTTTGCACGCGCGGTGGCCGAAGCTTACTACTGCTGTTATCGACCACCAAGGGATCTTAAATGTATGAAACTTGCACTCTGGACCTCTGATATTTCTTCGCCCCGGTTCGAGAAGGCGAGGTGTTAAATCTTACCTACCATAAGATTAAGGGTGTGGCTGAAAGCCAGCAGTAAGAAGGAGCCATAAGTAGCAGTAGCAAGAGTCAGGAGTCCAAAGGAGGGGCCAAAAAGGAACGGGGGGGGGGGGGGGGGGGGGAAGTGGAGATGAAAGCAGATGACAACATGATTAGACAACAGGAAAGGAGGTAAAAGTAGAAAATCTTAGAGAAGGAAATTTTCTGTTGCTGTCAGATTTTGAACCCAAGACCTTTTGAATGAGAGGCGAACACCATACCTCCCTAAAATATCAGTTCACCTTAGAGAGATCACAACTCAGAGAGATGAGAGAGAATATACATTGTATAATATGGGTAAGAATGTATGAATTCTGTTATTTATTCAATACATAAAAAAAATATCACATGTTATGCACATATTTCAAGAAATAAACAAACCAACAAACAGATGTCTGCTCTATGATTCTGAACAATCATATATACAACATATAATGGGTATATTTTCTACTTTAAAAAAGCAAGGTATGATACACCAAGCACAGATCTTCACTTCAATATAATAAATACTTTTGATGTTCAGCGCAGGACAGGAAAGTGTTAAGAGATGAGATAAATGTCTGATAACTTTGACACATATATTATTTATATACTCATCTAAAACTAGAGTCAAAATTGTCTAAGATTGGCACCCAATGACAAGGTGAAAATTGGCCGTTTTAGAAAGGTGGCTATCTTACATAACATGTAGCGTCAACATTAGACTAGAATTTTTTAAAAATGAATTGGGGGGGGGGGGGGGGGGGAGTGAGAGGTGGCCATTTGTATTAGTAAAGATGTCTGTTATATACAGGTGGCTGTTACTGTTAGATCAGGTTTGAACTGATTGTACCGGTTCATAATAATAATAATACATGTTACATGATGCATCTTACATAAAAACTTAACAAGATCACATCTTTTGATTTCTTTCAAACACTTCAACTTCAACAATAAAAAAAATAAAAAATACCCTGCAACTTGAATTTGTTCACAGACCGCAGATCTAGATCTAGTTAAACTAAACACTGTCGCAGCCAGAGGACTAAATTAAGAAAAGCCCCGCAATTATCACAGTTGTCTCCACCTAAGAAAAGCCCCGCAATTATCACAGTTGTCTCCACCTAAGAAAAGCCCCGCAATTATCACAGTTGTCTCCCCCTAAGAACCCCGTCACTGGGAGACAGAAAAAGGCGGGTCTTAGGCAGACGTGGTTCTCGAGTTGATTTCAAGGGGCACAACTGAGTTCCCACCCCTTGGATTCCCTTGTATTCATTCTAGCACATCGTATCAACATGGGTCTGTCAGCCTCGCTGTCTTCCTCCACCTCATTACTTACTTTATATATATATATATATATATATGATTTCACTTGATGTGTTGAGAGACAAAGAAATTTTCACTCACTGAAAACATCTGTCGTGGCCCAGTGGAATCAGGCGTTCGTCCATTTTTGGGCATTCGGAGTTTTGGTATATTCTTAAAGGATATTCGCCTTGCTTTCGAAGAAAAAAAAAATCCTTTTATCTTGAATAGAAGTCGAGATATTTGCCATTGCAGGAGGTGGGGGTCGTCTGGTTTTAGAAGTAAAATTAGCGAAAAAATGCCCGCCGAAGTTTGGTGGGGGTGGGGGGGGAGGCACTTAATCAATGTCTTTCATAAAATCCACACATAAAAGTGTTTTTGAATGGACATACAAGGTGTTGAGCCAAAAAACAAAAATTCGAGAAAAAAATTTCAAACTGACCGAAAAATGCTGATTTCTAGAATTTCATTATTTTGACGAGCGTCTGGTTTCACCACGAAGCCTCACACACACACACACACACACATATATATATATATATATATATATATATATATATATATACAGTAGTCTCCGCCTAAGATCCCGGTGCTCAGGAGCAAGGAAATGCGGGATCTTAGGCGAACCGGGATCTTAACCGACGAACCCAGGGAAGAATCTATGGTGACCCATGTTAAGGCTCACAATCGGTAAAATGGTCTCCCTTCCCTCAACAATGAACAATGAACCCTTAGTGGGTTTATGGCGTATGGCGAGCAAAGAGTGGTTAACCTTGATGACCTATCACGGTGCATAGTGGGACGAGGCGTGCCATTTTCACTTATTATCCTATCATGAGTCTCAAGATCTACGCTTATCCAGTTGCCCCTCCCCTTTACCACATCTCTGACCGAGTCCCCCCCCCCCAAACAAAAAAACCGCCTTTGTCGTTACACACCATTATGTTGTGAACACACCAATTAAAATTCAGTCTGTCTCACAAATTCTGGAGTAGAGACAACTACTGCAATGGTCAGGGAAGAGTTCACGGTACGATGTGATCCCGCCTGGAGCGAACGTGTAGGCCCTGCCCACCCAGCGAGTGATGCAAATTTAGGGGGAGAGCTCAGGTGTGAGTGCGAAGCGTGGGGAAAACAAACGCGTCGGTCAGTTCACACCCCGGTGTGATCCCGTCTGGGGCAGACATTGTATCGCTTCATCGAGTTTTACAACGTGTGTGGGATCACATTTACGATAGTGGCTGATCTTTGATGCAACGGACAGTTTATTGATCTCAACTTTTCACAATTGGTTGATCGGCTGTGCCCGCCCGGGTTTTTGTTTCGCAAATTATGATCTGAAATGCGGGATCTTAGCCAAATGTAGACCATCAGAGCGGGATCTTAGGGGTGACTTTTGTATAGTAAAAATTCTGTTTTCTTAAAACAACGGGATCTTAAGCGAACCGGGATCGTAATCGGTGGGATTTTAGGTGGAGACTACTGTATATATATATATATATATCTTCGTGGAGAAACCAAGCGCTCGTCAAAATAATGAAATTCTAGAAATCAGCATTTTTCGGCATATATCTATATAATATACACACAATAATTGCTCACTAGCCTGCCACAGGTACACCATAAAACGACCCAGAGTACCGGCATGTTAAATATATATGTGCAGTTAAAGACAACCTAAAGACAGCGAGGTTATTCCAGAGCAAGCGAAAGCCACATGTTGCGCTGTTCTAACCTCGCTGACACATTAGCAAGGTACAAAGGAGCAGTGCTTCAGGTGGAGAAGCTTGCTAACCAAAGGATGTTTTGTCTCTTACTCAAAATGTGTTTAGATAAAACGCATACTTCATTGCAGGATCTAGTCCAAAGCCCACTGCAATAAATTGACAACACTTTAGTTCCTATGCATCAACATTGCAAAAACGATCGATTGAAAAGTAGGCACTGGGCGATTGATTTGCCACATCTGTGTGTATTCCTATTCTTAAAGCACTCAGAGAATGCTGCAGAATATGCACCAAATATCAATGCAATTATTTTTGTTAGGCGTGCATCTCGAATTATATCTCGTCAACCTCCACGAGACTAATATAATTATAAAAGATACAAGAAAAAAACAGAAGATCAGAAGAGGAGGGAAAAAAAATGTATCACCAGAAATGAAAAGGGGCCTTAACTTATAATTATAACTCATGAGTAAATTATTTGTGTTAGTATGTAATAAAAACAATCCCATTCGTTAATCATTAATAACAGTACATATATATATATATATATATATATGTATATATATATGTATATAAACATGATCCCCGTCTATTTGGAAGGTTCGGCTATAACAAGAGTATCACATCAGTCCCGGCTGACCTGTTTTAACCAAAGACCACTAAATATATAAATACACTCTACATTCTGGCATGTACATAGCAAACATTCACAAAGTGAAACTCGCATATATAGCATACAAATTTTCAGGTCTCTGATTTTTTCTTATACAATAGTGTATTCTTGTTTTTTTAAAACATTAAAAAATCAAAATCTTACAATAAGAAAAGATTTCCGCATCCCACCAATTTTGCCATGTGCATGCTAGGCTGTATATAAAAATACCCAGCAAAATCATTTTAAGTAAATGCAGTAAGCAAACCCTTTCTAAAGAACTGACAAAATATGCATCAGGTCACAGAACCAAAAGAGACCCGAGTTATCAAATACAAATTCAAAACTTTTGCTTGATCGGATGAGTGGAACAGCAAGCCAAATCATGTATAACATGCTGAATCTTTGGCCACTATATAAAACCATGATAAAAATGCATGTTATATATACATATCCATTTTTAAGTAGAAACTTTGATTTTGCAGAAGAAATTGTTATCATGAAGTTTTTAGTGGATTACAAAGGCATAATATGGTAATTAGCGACAGAGACATGAGATTCTAATACATTTTGTGATATATTCTACACTCTTTGACAAGGTGACTGTTCCTTTCATGTTGAACATGTTCTTGATACTGTTTCAACAGTACGACGTATAGCTCAATCTATCTCACTCCACTCAGTTCCCAGAAGGAAGCCTTGAGCTTTCAAGGTCAGGGGCAGCAGAAATTTTAATTATAATTGCAGAAGTACAACTGATATTTCCAAAACTCTTAATCATACAGGTCGCCATGCGAAGCCCAAGTTTTCAGACACGACTTCCACCATGCGGTCCAGCTTCTTTTGCCGGTCATCGCCGTCCTCGTGCCACCTCCGCAGACTGACGATGTAGTACTCCTGACTTTTTGCGTCCCTCGCCACTGCCAGGTCTTCATCCTCATCCTCTGCAACATCATCAGTTTTGATCGACTTTTCCTGAACCTCTAGACATTCCCATCCTTGACCTTTTTTCTTGATCAGCTCAGATATTTTGACCACAGTCCTGTGTGACAGTTGGCCGTGATAGGTGACATGACGTAGATGCTTGCAGTGATCTACCAAGTACAGAAGGCTCTCATCACAGTCAGAGGAGTCGCACAAACTGACAAACTTACGCAATGTTGCGTGAAATTTCTCCGCTAGCGAACGGATGAGAACACCGTCGCATCGACCATAGTTGCGAATGGACAGGGCATGTAGGGGAAGCTCTTGGTTTAACATCAGACTGAGCTGTTCTTCCGGCATCCGCGTCACCACAAAACACTCCACTTTTAGATTTGGAGATGCCGTTTTAAGAGCAGCCCACGCAGAGGAAGATATATCCGGTATCTTTAGACCGTCCACGTACATTGAGTCATGGGAGAACATCACTAGAATCTGAAGAGACTCAAGCTTCCTGCGTCTTCTAGACGCTAACATCACCAGAAGGTCGTCACTGAGCATGGGAGAGCGCAGGGCCAGATGCTGAAGGTTGATTAAGGAAGAGATAACTCTTGTGGCAGTCTCTGGTGAAGGCAGTTGTGGAATCCTCTCGGTCCAAGACCCTTCTCGTTTATTCAGAAAAAAAAAGTTGAAAGACTCCACACTCTGCAACTTGCTGTTCTCAACAATAGCCTGAAATATATCGGAAGAATCACTTAGCTCCTTGAATAAAGGCCAGGATATCAAATTCAACTGCTTTAGTCTCACAGCATTTCTCACCAAACCGACCACTAAGGGAATATCCTTTATATTTGAATAAATCTCCGCCTCCCTCCTCACACTGTCATCCTTGGAAGTCAGCGAGCCCATTATCAAGGTCAGACTCTCCAGGCGACACTCAATATTCAAGTCCTCTAGCATCTGGAGACAGTTTGCGTCAAACTTCTGCACATAGCCCGACATCTGCAGGGTCAGATGCTGGAAGAGGTGAGAGAATCTCTTCACAATTTCCCCCATGGTTTGGTGCATCACAGATACCAGCTTCCATCGTAGACGGTTCCTCCCTACGTGACCGACCGGCATCAGAGAAATGTGAGCAGCCTGCCACAGCTTTGGGTGACTGAACAAATCATAAAACAGATGGCAAGTCAAACTCAGGTAATAACGTTCCTTCAGATTAAGATATTCCATGACCCGTACGAGAGCAACTTCTGGAAGGTCTGTCAGGGTCAATAGTTCTTCTTCTTGTAGCTCTTCTTCCCCGTCTACTTGAACTTGATTGATCGGAGGCTCATGTGTGCCCTCCACTTTGAGGGAGTGACTCATGATGTCTTCTTGAGCTGCCATGTCCTCTTCTGCTACGAAAAACCACAGAAGGAACAAAAGGCGGGCAGCATCAACCTGAAAAATATCAAAAAGTTAAGAAATAAATTTCTCATATTTGCTTCTTCTTTCAATCAAATATCTATCATCCTTATAAAATAATACCTCTCTTTCTTTACGTTGTCCATAACATGGCATTGCACAGAAGGGCGAGAGCCCAGCTGTTGCTGGATCGATAACAACAACAATAACTTTACGTTGTATTTTTTGCTCTTTCTTTTCGCGCAAAAATAAAACAGTCTTTTAAAAAATTGTCCAAGATGGTCACCCACTGCCATGGAGAAAAGAGGTTGTCTTTGACAGGCAGACATCTTGGGCATTGTTAATGGAGACAAAATGCAAAGGGGGG